CACACACACACACACACACACACACACAGACACTCACTCACACACACACACACACACACACTCACTCACTCACTCACTCACACACTAACTCACTCTCTCTCTCACACACACTCACACTCATTCACTCACTCACATACTCACTCACTCACTCACTCACACACGAGGTCATAAAGTGATAACACAGTAAACCAGCTGATGTGCTGATATGTGCTTTGACTAACGCAGTGTACAATTCACATCTTACACACACATAAAACACTTAGCACATTCAATGTTTTCCATTTATTTTTGATTTTGTCTTTTTGTTATCTCTGCCAATGCTGATGCCAACAGATAACAGTACAGTACAAGCCAGTGAAGTCATGTAGCGTCTTAAATGTCAGTATGGCTCTGGAACACTAATGCACTGGACTTCCTGTCATTCGTCTCTGACAGCGCTCTGCTTACCCTCAATACTGGCCTTTGAATTATTCATGACAACATGGAAATGCCAGCAAAGAGAAGACGCGACGTAAAGAACTAGTTCTCTAGTGCACATGACCTGCAAGTCTTTTATTAAAGTCCAGTTTTATATTTACAGATGGTCATATTACAGCTTCTAAGAGTCTATTAATTCCACCAACGATGATAACAACATCATTTTCAGACTTTGAACAATCCTGAGTCTAAGGCTGCTTTGTGTTGTCAGAAGCATATTTAAGCGACATTATTATTTTCTGTTGGCTACAATTAAATAAGTTAATCACCTAAATCATACGGCTGCTCATGGAGGTTTCAGGGTTTCTTCTTGCCTTTCTTAGGGGCCGTATATGAGGAAGTGCGATGCTCTTTTCTGTCATATTTGTCGTGACCTTCCCTGTGGCAGAATGAAAGACAAATTCAACACTAATTAATATCGTAAGTACAGTACTTCAAAACGCAGCACATTTCACATCTGGCAAGATCTCATGGAATAAACCCAGTGAATGATTCCTGAATGAGTCCAAATGCTGAAGAGTTTAATGCGCCAAGATTCAGATTTACGCTCAACTCAGTCGATATGAGAGTCAAAATATTCAATCTGACAGAGGGTAAGATGTGGCGTGAGGTCTGAAAAAAACAAAACAAAACAGTTTAGTACGGAAGCCCATTTCTGACACATAAGAAAAAAAAACATGCTTTGGTAAATCATGTTTATAATTTTTTTTTTGTCATAATAATATTGAAATTATGAGATACTAAGTCATAATTATGATTTACCAAAGCATTGTGACTATTTAGGTCATAATTTCAACTTTTTAAAATCTCATAATTATGACTTAATATGTCATAATTTCAATTTTATATTATAGCTATATTATAGTATAGCTTAGTATATCATAATTTGTGACTTTTTGTAATAATTACACCAACTTTTGATGTCATCTTATGACTTAGTATGTCATAATTTCAACTTTTTATCACATAATGTGCCTATTCTATAAATATGGCTATTTATCTCATAATTATGACTTAGTATTTCATAATTTCGACTTTTTGACTGTCAAAATGATGACTTTTTATCTCATAATTTCAACTTCATCTGATAATTATGATTTAGCAGTATCTCATAATTTCAACTTTTTATCTCATAATTATGTCCGAGCATTTCATAATTTTGACTTGTCATAATTATGATTTACCAAAACATTATGACTATTTAGGTCATAATTTCAACTTTTATCTCATAATTATGACTCAGAATGTCATAATTTCAACTGTATATCTCATAGTTATGACTAACCCTATCAAAATTTTGACTTATGTGATAATTATGACTTTTTAACTTTTGATGTCATAATTATGACTTTTCAACTTTTTATTTGATAATTATGAATTTTTACCTCATAATTATGACTTAATATGTCATAATTTCAATTTTATATCATAGCTATATTATAGCATAGCTTAGTATATCATCATTTGTGACTTTTTGTAATAATTACACCAACATTTTATGTCATCTTATGACTTAGTATGTCATAATTTCAACTTTTTATGTCATAATCATCACTTTTAAGTCATAATTTCAACTTTTTATCACATAATGTGCCTATCCTATAAATATGGCTATTTATCTCATAATTATGACTTAGTATTTCATAATTTCGACTTTTTGACTGTCAAAATTATGACTTTTTATCTCATAATTTCAACTTCATCTGATAATTATGACTAGCATAGCTTAGTATATCATCATTTGTGACTTTTTGTAATAATTACACCAACATTTTATGTCATCTTATGACTTAGTATGTCATAATTTCAACTTTTTATCTCATAATTATGTCATAGTATTTAATAATTTTGACTAGTCGTAATTATGATTTACCAAAGCATGACCTTTTTCTAAGGAGTAAAGAATGTAAATTGAAAAAGTAAATAATCATATGTTGAAATTCAGTAAATAAATGACTGTTGCTGTTGAAGTCGCCTCTTTAAGCCCTTTCAGAATCCTGTTACATCCCAACCATCATGGTATGGTTGCCAGGGAATTGGGTTGCTAGGATATTCTGTGTGGTTGCTAGGGTGATCAGAAGAGTCCACCTTCAAGTTTGTAATATTTAATTTGAGGAATCATTGTCTAGATAGTGCTAGAGGTTTGATGAGTATGCGTACTAGTAGTACTAGTGATGCTCATCTCAGTAAACACTACTGAAGACAACAAGAGAAATGAGACGATCGTCACCCTTCGTACCTAAAGCAGCGGGCGCAGTACAGATCTCGCTCACACGTGTGGCAGCGAATGGTGGCATCCTGATTACAGATGCAGCACCACGGCAGCTCTTCATCATCATCCTCATCACGGTCATCATCTTTTACACGCTGGATCTGTGAGGCAGCAGCGGCCGGCTTTGATTTAGACTGCAGCACTGAGAGCTTGAACACACAGGAAAAAAAATGTACAATTCAGACAATTCAGAAAAAAGTAAATTTTAGCGTTTGTATTATGCATGTGTGTCGGGGTGTTACCGGGTTCCTGCTGGACGTGTCCTTCTCTCTGTTCATCGGGCCGCTGAGCTCTGGTGGGATGTTGTAGCCGCTGGCCTCATCTAGAGCTGCTTCCTCTGATAACTGTACGAGTGACAGAAAACACACGCAAAACGCCTTCAAACTGAGCTCTGACGGATCGATCTAAATACCGACCTCTGGTGGTTGTTATGGGACATGCCACAGGTCAAAATAAACTGGCTATAATAGGCTAATATACACTACTATAGTTATGACTTATAGTTATTCGTTTTTGTCATAATAATGACTATTTATCTCATAGTTGACTTCGTATTTCACAAGTAAACATTGGCCCGGTTTCATAGACAGGGCTTAGACTAAACCAGGATTAGGCCATAGTTCAATTAGGACTAATTGAGTAATTGAGGACAATTAAGTAATTTTTATAAACATGCCTTAGAAAAAAGCATTACTGGTGTGCATCTTAAGACAAAACAAAGGCACTGACATGTTTTAAGATGTCAGTGCAAGTTTCTTTCAGTTGAAACAGCTCAGATTTACATTTTAGTCAAGGACTAGGTTTAAGTACGGTGGCCGAGAAGTGCAAAGCAAATCACAATTCTGAAGACAAAATAACAAAAAATGTCAGCTCCAGTGGCGCAGATGGATAAACGCTTGTCGTTGGCTTTTTGACGCGATCGACCAAGGTTTGATCCCATCTTTTGCCGAAATTTTTTTTTCTCCCTTTTCAAATCTTGTATCACATCGTAAAGGCATTTATTTTCAATAAAAATTAAGGAAATAATCAAAAAGTTGAAAATAAAGTATCGGGTAGGGTTAGGGTA